CGTTAGACAGGGGTGGAGCTCGCATTACTGACCACTGTCGGGCCACGCCAAGTCTCGTCGAAGATTTCGATGAATGTGATTAAATGACGCAGGTAAATTTGTTGCCGGTTCCACACGACCGCATTACACAGAGACACTTGCACGCTCTGCCACCACACTTTGAGACTGAAGGAAAGCGTGAAATATATTTTATATTTATATATACATGGCAGAGAAGTCACTGAATGTCATACCATCCACAGCCAGTGTATATGTAGTATATGTCATTAAATTTCCTTTTATAGAGACGTGAACCTTTAACGTTTTTCCAGCACCGGTTTTGACAAACTGCAGTTGACAAGTGAACGAACTGTAAAAGTATAATGTCAACTTTATCTCATGACCCCCCCCCCGCCCCCACGCTCATCGTCTTCTCTTTCTCCACGCCGCCCCACCGTTTAAGCGCCCATCCGCACGTCGCGGTGGACTCACATCTGGAAAGTCCATTTAGTTCTGCTTGAGTCTCAGGAAGTTTTCACACTTCATGACTCATTAACCCGCAGACCTCCCCAAGCTAGCGAGGGGGCACGGAGAGGATGGCGGTGTGGGGTAGGGGGGGGTGGGTGGTTTATGCGGATGACGGGTTCGGGGGGAAAAGACAGGCGAGATAATGGCAGAGGGAGAAGGTTCAATTATTATCTTTGTCTCACGGATCGAACGCCGTGGAGTAAAAATGATGAAGGTGTGAAGATGGCCAAGAAAAGCAGACAAGGATGAGGGGTGATGAATTAAATACTGGATTGTGTGCGTGCGTGCGTGTGCGTGTGCGTGTGCGTGTGCGTGTGCGTGTGTGTGTGTGTGTGTGTGTGTGTGTGTGTGTGTGTGTGTGTGTGTGTGTGTGTGTGTGTGTGTGTGTGTGTGTTTGTGGGAGTGTGCCCAACCCAGTGTGACTAAAGTGTCTGAAAGTGGAGCTTTTTCTTAATGAAACACTTTTCCCGGAGTGATAATTACACCAGCAGAAAAGCAAGGACACCTCCTGTCAACGTGTGAAATTTTGTTTACTAAAATACAAAGTCCCCCAACCCCACCCCCACTGGATGTATATACGTGTGTGTGCGTGCGTGTGTGTGTGTGTGTGTGTGTGTGTGTCTGTGTGTGTGTGGCATTCAAATCACTACTTCATAATCAGCCCAATAAGTGCGAGCAGCCCTTGTCCCCAACGCGTCGCTGCATTTCCTGTCAGCTGACGCGTCGAGCTTATTGTACATCCCGGCCGTCCATTTCCCATCACAAATTTTATTAACTTCTTTCAGCAGATACCTTTTTTTTTTTTGGTTTTGTTTTGTTTTGTTTTCTAACCCCCCAGCCGCGCGCTCACAGCAGCCCCTCAGCCGATTGCAATCTTTTTGGCAAAGGGAGGAAGGACAGCCTTTCATTGCATGTCACAGTGGCTTGAAAACCCCTCGCCGAGGGGGTTGGATCGAAGATAAGCCGTGACAGAGCAAAAGCTCAGATACTGAAAGCAAGAAATGGAAAAAAAAAATGTCCATTGGTGATTGCACAAATGCAACAAAAGATACCTGTGTCTTTAATAGAATTTGTCTGAATCCTCATGTTGTTTTTTGTTTTGTTTTGTTTTTACACCCACAGGCGTTTTATTTAAACAAATCCGAGCAGCAGAACAATTCAATTATTCGGCGTGGCTTTAATAAAAGCTTCGCCGTGCATTACGCGCCATCTTCCCCTAATTCAAATTTTACGATTTAACAGTCAAGGCCTTTCCCATTACGTCTCGACACACCGCGTTACAATTTTTTGGGGCAAGGTTTATTGAATCAATAGCAAGAGAATTCTTGTCGGAGGAGCCGGCGCGAGTGGAGATTAGTGAGCGCGACTATGAAAAAGTTTCAGCTGCCGGTGCGTTTATAATCAACTGTTGGCAAACACACTGGCATCTGGCTGAGGAAGTCTTCCGTTTCAGACTTTTTTTTTTTTTTTTTTTTTTTTGCAAATATGGGATTTTTCTTTTTCTTGAGAAGTGACTTTTCCAAGTCAAGATTTCAACTGTCTGGTTCGACAAAACAGGTTGGCGTATGCGCGGCTCTAAAACAATAACTCTTCTGCCTCTCTGGGATTTCGTAACATGTCATTTTCATTGACAGAAATAATATATATATCGTGACAGAAATGAAATGATTTCATGTATCCATCCCATTACATGCAACATTTCAGCAAAAGTACTTTTAACGATTGGAATAAACCTGCCGCCTTGAAACGATACGTTTTTGGGGTTTAGCTATATTCGTTTTTAGCAGATGGCCCTCGTAACTCATGTTACTGGAAAATAGTTCGGATGGAAGTGTATTCTTGTGCTCACCCTTTTGTATGATTTGTTACGGAAGCATTACTTTGAAATGTAATCGTTTGTTTATTGAAACATGCGCGAACCACATGCATGATGCAAAGGCCGCTAAGTCAGCCCTGCGAGGATACAAACTATTACCTCAAGTTGGACACAAGTAGCAGCGTGGCAGATAGTGAACGATTCTTTCAAAAAAAAAAAAGAAAAAGCTTGTTGCAACTCCCAGTTGAAGTTTACTGTCAAACTAAACATCGAACAAAGAGAATTCTTCTTTGTGTTTGTGTCTCTGTTTCGGTATTATACTGTCCCCTGGTGGCCAAGGGGTGCACGGCAAAAACGTCTCAAAAACTGGTTAATTCTTTATTTTCTATTTCATCGCATCATTAGAATTAAAATCGTTGTGGTCATTGCCCTGTGTGTTTTTTAAAAAATACAATCATTTTGAGTGTTATTTTACTTAAAAAAATAAATAAATCAAATTTGTTGTTATTTTGGGGTGGTGGGCAATGACAAATCAACATCATTCGACTTCATTGCAATGATAAAAATAATGAAACTAAACTCAAACTAGAGACATTTACGATATCATTTACAGTTTTGATATTTTTTTTACCACATTCGTGATGTCCAGAATTGTCTTGATAACGACAGCCATTAACACATTAGGATACACAAGCACAACATTTTTTTTTTCGTTTTTAAATGAGTACCAGAATTACCCAAGCTAATAATGGTCATAATCCTACACGATCACCTATAATTTAGGCACATCTTCCCGATATAATTATAAACCGGCGTTAATCATTGTATCGGTGCTCTTTTGATTCCACCAGCAGGACTTATTAAAGGCCACTCTTTGCTAATTAGCTCCATGCTGGCTTTCACGTGAAATGAGCTCAGCCATTGTTGTGGAGTGCACGTTATCCAGCAACGGCAGCCGTAACCACTAAAGCACAAGAGACACTTGATGTTTCCGTGCCATGTCAACACTGTGTTCATGCAGGGGGGCGGGCGGCGGTGGTGGTGGTGGGGGCTTCCTTTATTGATGTTATTCTGCATTGGTGTGCAACATTAGCATGCATAACATGTTGACATTTTCCTCAGATGTAATGTCCTGAGTCATCAGCATGTGAATGGGTCTGTTTCTTTACTTTCAAATGCGTGACTGACGCAGTACATTGAACCCCCATTCATCATTGTGGTTACGTTCCACTGGTAAAAATCTGTGCTACAAAGAGACCATATTTTAAAAAAAAAAAGAAAAAAGTATTACATGTATCTTGTATGGTGCACCTGCAATTTGGTGAGAGAAACTAGACTAGACTATAGAGCAAGTAAAACCAGGTCTAAGTTGTGGTACAGGTTGCGTACTTGATTTTGGTGGATTTGTTTCAGGCGCATGAAGACAGATTTTACGCTCCGCTGATATGTGTTGTGGATGTCATCGTATTTCATTCATAAATATGGCAACAGAGTGCATTTAGCACTCTGAATCTGAGTAGAACTAGGGGGCTGCAAGTCAAAGGGCCCTACTTTCGTGCCCAGGGCAAGTCTGGCTCAAAGCGCAATCTAACTGTGTGCATGGGTGGAGTTTTATTACTTTTGGTATATTGCTTGACAAGGACAGAGGACTTTGCATCATTGCCAGATTGAATGAAATCGACTCCCGGCCCATCGAAGCAGCTCCCCTCATTCCCTTTAACCCTTTCATGCACCCTGTAACCTGATAACATGATGAGCTGTAGTAATCGCTGTCCCTGAAAGGGCAAAATTCAGGTTGGTTGCAGCGCACGCATTGCTTGACGTTGCGGAAGCAGAAATTAACTAGCTAGGGTCCGAGCATGAGGTTGGTGCGCGCAAAGTGCTTTTACGCAGAACTGCAATATCTCGACTCGTAGATGTTGTAGTCAGCCACGCATGTGACGTGAGCAATTGGAGACCATCTTGTCCTGATCGTGCGTCCATGTGTGAATCTGTCTACCTGTCTATAATTGCATGACACCACCTATGCCACTACTTAGACCTGCTTTTTCACGTCGAAAGTCAAATCAATTTTTTTGTTACCAAATTGCCAGATGTGCCAGGGGTGCGGCAGCTCCATCCGCCGGAATGCCCAGCAAGGCGCAGCGTGGTCCCAAACAAGCTAAATTAGAATTGCCCCGCCATCCACCCATCCGTTTTCTAATCCACTTCTCCTCATGATGGTCGCAGGCGTGCTGAAGCCTCTCCCAGTTGTCTTCAGGCAGTCGGCGGGGGGACACCCAGAACTGGTCGTATTGATATTTATGTTTCCTACCTTGTCAACTCAATGTTGATAATTGTGAAAAATCTAACAGATTTGTTTTTTCAGAAGTGTGTATCCAACTGCTAACCTTTCACATTAATCAGTACCCACAAGGTACAGCAGCTTTCAGTTTCAAAAAGTACGCATGACCTGTGATTGGCTGGGAGATGCCTCAGCTCCCTAATGAGCACGAGCACGATAGAAAATGGACGCCTGAACATTTTGACGGGATTCTTGGCTGCTAATCACTCGCTGAGTGTCTTGTGTCACACTTTGTTTTTATTTGTTGCTTGCGTCGTGCGTTTGATTCCTTGGTGGGAGGCTCAGCGGGTGGTGTGTGTCTGACACCTCTTTGCTTCCGTTAACCTCAATCAGATGGTGCCGAACCTCTGCGGAACACCTGCTCTCCCGATGTGCATCCAAATCTGTGAGGCCGAATCGATTGGGCCAACTCGGGGGATGGCACGACGGGCCCGCATCGGGGGGGGGTTGAGCGCTGGGTGCGGCGGTCTTCGTCTGCCAGCCTCATTCTTCATGCTTCTTTTAAGAGAGGCGTGCGGGCGAAATAACACCTGCTCATTAGGAGCACGGCGCCTCCTGGCTAATTCATCGTGGACTGTCACGAGCTTGTGTACGACCCCCGGGAAACACATAAATCACACGCCGAACCGAGCGGTCGAGCGGCCGGCTTTGTGCCCCCAACGCCGCTGATTTATCAAGCAAATTACTGCGACTCCTGCTCGGCCCAAACACTTTGCAGAGGAAATCACCGACTAACCCCTGAGCCAACCGATTTATTGAAAAACTGCTCCCCCCCCCGCCCCCCCCCAGCCCAACATCCCTCAGCCCACACTCACCCAACCTCCTCCACCATCTCTTCCCGTGCCACTCCACTCATCTTTCACCGACTTAATTAAAATCCATCCCGTTGGCTCGTTGGCATTTATTACAACCAGCGGGCTAATGAAACAAAGACAACGACAAACCCAAAGCTGCTTTGTGCCAGTAAACATTTTACAGCACTCCCCCCCCCCCACACACACACACACACTTAAATATAAGGCCTTCCAACCGTAGTGACATTTAAACAAGGTTTAAGGTAAGGGAGGGTAAGACGACGAGCTCGCGTTAGTCAATTATATGAACCACAAAAGCAGGGAAGAAAAACAAAGAGATTTAAGGGAAGCCCGATGGGGGGGGGCACTCATTACATGACATTGAGTTTTCTCGGCTCAAAACTCAATCAATGAGATGCTTAGTGCCGCATGAAGATGAGCGAATAAGCATATATTCGATCATATTTTACAACGCATATTAACAAATGTGGTTATAAACTGTTCGGTGCGCACTGCGGTTTGGTGCCCTCATCTGAATAGGAGCGTCTACGAATGCTAAAAGAATGTGGAAAATAATTGATCCCTATTGTTATTTCCTGATGTACAGAGGCTCTTCGGTTTACGACAGAGTTCCGTTCCCATGGCGTCCACCTAAGCCGAATTTGTACCTTCGTCGGAACTCGTCGCCAGGCTTATAATAGTTTTGGATTTTTCATTAAAGTTAGTTTTCATCTCATTTTGACCTTTTTTTTTAATTATTGAAAGTATTTTTTATTTTATTTGTTTTTATCCTTTTTTCAAAAACATGACATTTTAATTTATTTTTATTAGTTTTAGTATGAGTTTTTTTTTCTAAATATGTGGACTCTTTGTCGTATAGAAGAAAAAAAAGATCACTTGGTGTTATTTAATAAAGTAAAGCAAACTAGAATTGTCAAACAAGTATTTTTACTTTTCTTCTTCTGGACGCTAGTCATCCGAAAAATAAATTAAAACTAATAAGAATTAATAATAATATAAAATAAATAATATATTTCAACTGAAGCTTGTATATGATTTAATTCATCAAGATGAAAACAAAGCTTTAGTTATATTTATAAAAGGCAGATGAAGGTTCAGTAAGTTTTTGTGTTTTTACAAGGATTATTATTGTCGTTCGTGAACGACAACGATTTTTCAATTTTAGCCACCAGAGCCACTTTGATTGGCGCCGAATCAAGTTGAGTATAACCGCGTCCACAACGTCTCAAACGGCTGAAACGGCCCTTTTTAGAATTCGCCGACTTCAGCGCATCTGCGAAGTTACCAACACCGGTTCTAACCTGCTTCTGCTTCCATTTAGACGGTGTGCTGTGCCGGATTTGTGCCAGAAAATAGAGCCCTCAGTTTTATGGTATCACACGGATGACGAAGTCACGCTACCAACATAGAAGCCATGGATAACATTGACTTGCTTAACGGTGCATATGGCGTGCAGTGCGCATCTCTCGTGCATGTCAGCGAGGGGCGTGGCATTAGTCAGCATCTTGATGTTGTGTTTCCGGCAACGTTTGAGGTAAAATCATATGACTTCTGTGTGGTTTTGTTGTGTTTCAGTGAAAAGGGAATCAACAGCCATACCGTACAGAGCATTGCGAGGCTTAGTTTGTTGTCGCTGCTGTTCAACACGAGTGTAACCACGCTGGCTCACTGTGGGCCTTAATTGACTCTTCGGCTTGGGATGGAGTGGGGGGATGATGAAGAGCCGCAGAGCTTCTCAGATTGGCCATGATACTTAAAGTGCAAATGTGTCTGTATTGAATAAGCAAAACAACAACTCAATTATAGGTCTAACTGCCTAGACGGGAGGTCTAAATGACATTGTAGTCGGGGGTTCTTGGCAGTCACTGGACTCGCTCTCTCTCCCTCTCTTACTTCCTCTTGAGGTTTGGAAATGGCGGGGGGGGATACTGCATGGAGGAAGGCGCTAAATTAGCTGGCTGATCCGCGCTCATTGCCGCATACACATCCCCCTATTACCACCGCCCGGGCGCCGCTTAATATTCCGGGCATGGTGGTGCGCGGCTAGATTGCAGATTTATCAAATGGGAAAATGAATGTATGATGATCAGTTAAATTGAAAATCAGCGCCCGGGTGACAGACCGCGCTGACACCTCGGTAATTAGAAAGAAAAATGATGGCGTCCGAATGCATAATAGAGCAAAAACAATTTACGCCATACCTTTTTTTTTGGGGGTTGGGGGGGGGGGGATTCACTTCCACTCCTGGCTTGGCGTGTTAGCGTCCCCTGAAAATTGAGCCAATAAAGTGGATGTCCAAAGTCAAAGGGGATTGTCTGTCTTGCTCCAACATTGCAACAATGACAGACAACGTCAAGCATGTCAAATATGACGTCTGCCGATTGTAGCAAGCATCCATTTTCTTCTTTTGTCTCCTAAAGAGATACAAATGAGGTACTTTTTCGCAATCTAATCATTCCCAATACAAAAAGCCTACAAGGGCTACAAAAAGCCACCTTTGGTGAAGTTACTTGTTTTTCTTTTTTTTGTGGCGGGGTGATTCTAACTGTTTGACAGTTTTAAGTTAATGTTAACTTATTTCTTTTTATCAGGATCTCCTGTCAGATTTTACAGTGTGTAAGCAGTATAACTCATTTCATTCATAAGTCACATGTTTCCCTTTTGAGAAGCTTAATTTCGTATCATGAAAAAGAACCAATTTCTCTAAACGGACAGATCTTTTAAGAGTTTAATTTGATCATTTTCTTTATTTAAAAGCGTGAAAAGATCACGTTACGTAGCCTATGTCATGTCTTTTACTTTGGAAAAAAAAACCACATGCTATGTCCACTTCTTTCATTAAAAGGGATTTTTTTTTTTTTTTTTTTTAAAGGAACGCCCACTGCAAAGCATTCTTAGCTATAAGGAGCAGATCAAAACGGACATTTTCTAATTAATCGTCCTCTTGAAACTAACCGATTAAAGCAAATAAAAGCGCAGATTTCACCGGAATGAACGATTTAATGTGATTGTTTCGGTCGAAGGGGATGTTTCCCGAGGCCTTATGGGAAAATAATGTCCTTATGAATTAAATAATAGGGTTATTACTTTCATTGATTTTAGCTGTCTGGGAATTTAGTGTTGAGCTCGGGTCTTAACCCATCCTCCATCCTCCTCCTTCGTCCTCATCCTCCTCCTCCTCTTCCTCGCGTCTAATTATTTTCCTCTAAGCCGCCCTGCTTCCTGCAGCGCAAACAGCGCACTCGCCGGGTGAAAATTATGTAAATATTATTAAAGGGACTCGGGCGCGGAAATTCATTTTTAGCTCGGGCTCCGCGGAGCAAAGCCTGCCGTCCCTCGGATCCTGCGTCAATTTATTTGCAAATAAAGCGAGTGCTGTGACCGGGAGGGATCAGGGATATTTAGGCGCCCTGTCAACACGGCTCCGATGCGCGCACGCTGGCCAGAATTAATGCTTTTAATAATTGGGATTTCACTTTCCAAGGGACTGGGGTGGCGTTTATAAGAGCATAATCTTAACATGCGTTTCTTTTTTTGTTTGTTGTTTTTCTTCCTCAGTGTTCCATCAGGTCCTTATGGAGGTTGAACCCATTTTTGCGAAACTCCAGTTGTTGTCGTTGCGACTTTGGGCTTGTCTCGCCAGGCAACTCGAAAAATATAATTTAATTCACCTCCTTAAAAGATGATTAATTTCAGGTGATTGCATTTTTTGACAGGGGGGGAGGAGATGTATGTAGCAAAATACAAATCCCATAATGCACTGCGATAACTGTACGTTGCTTCCTCCACTCGCGGGAACACTTTTTACACTCGTTTGAATCAATTTTAAGGTAACTTCATGAAATGAGTCAAACGGCAACTCTAAAACTAGATTGTTGAAAATGTTAGCTAGTGAGACTTAGCTTGTGTTAGCTCAATAACCTAAAGTGCTAACCAGTTAAAGTAGAATTTTTTTTCCATTTTAATCTATTTTAGGGAAGCCCAAGCACCCTGAAAATTTTTAATTATAGTTGGAATTGTACTTATATATATATATTTTTTTTTACAGTGGAACCGGATTACGTATACCCTAGTTTTTGTGCCATTCATTTTTTTTTCTTTTTTACTTTTTATGAGGCCATAATTTTTTGCCAAATATTTCAAAATGAAATTTGCAATGTTGTTGTTCTTTTCAAATTCTATTTTTAAATGCAAAAAAAAAAGAAGAAGGGTTGAAATTTTGCCTTTTCACTTCATTATTTTCCCAAAATCTAAAGCGGTGGTTCTTAAACTGGATTCTGTGAATCGGTCTCACGGGTTCGACGGAGCCTCTGCCATGGAGGTTAAGACACACCCGACTCAACATGTCAATTCGTTACGACACGCCCGCTTGGCCATCACTGGCTGCAGATGATCAGGAAATTTAGTTCGCTCAGTCGTCAACGTGTGACTGTCGTGATAGTACATCGTAATTTTTTTAAAAACTTGTACTTATGTCTTGAAATTTTATGTACTTTTTTATGTTCTTAATAAATGTGTTTTTTTATCTACCTTGAATTTGTAAAAAGTCATATTTTAGTTTTTCACGGATGAAGGGTTCAGTGAACATGCATATGAACTCGGTGGGTTCGGTACCTCTAACAAGGTTAAGGACCACTGGTCTAAAGTTTATGATTGGAATTTTTACTTTGATGAATTTTGCAAAAATATGCAGTTTTTTTATGTCATTTATTCCATCCATGTGTCTAAGTTTGTTACATTTCGTTTCAAAGTTACCACTATTAGAAGTGGCTTTGTTTGTTGTTTGATGGCAAGAAATCTCAGGTCTACTTCCTCATGTACTTATCCAAAAATGGGCCTATAGCCAAAAAATCTGGTTCAAACATCTTTCTTTAGTTTGAGCCTCCCAAAATATAAAAAGATATTAAGGTGGGCCCTCACTCCATATTACGCCCCCCCCCCTCCCGAATCTTTATCTGGCTCACTCCCGTAGGGCCCCACAATAACAACAAATGACAAGGGGCTCCGGTGCCTTTTGTGAGGGAGGAGGAGTGGGGTGGCGGGACGCAAGGCAGCACGCCTGTCCTATTATGTGCGACACATGATCAATAGGGCGATAAGGCAGCGACATCAATATAAGCGACAGAACAATGAGGGATATCATCGAACATCTATCTTAATATAGCCGGCTACAAGGGCTGCCTGACAAGCGCGCCAGCTCATGAAAATTCCGCCCCACGAATCACACACTATCCCCCCCCCCCACCACCACCCCCACTCCCCAACCCCTCCCTCGTACGCTCAATAGTCTATGCGCACACACGCGTGCAGGCTGCCAGGCGCGCGCACGAGTGCCGTGCAGCTGGCTATTATTCCCCCATTTCAATTTGACACCCCTGCCTTTCATGCTAATTCTATTATTGTAGGAAGTTTATGTGATTCCATATCACTAGAAATCACTAATGTCTAATAACCCTTTGGGCTGAGGAGGGGGTTGGGGGGGGGTGAAGGAGGAGGAAAGGGGAGCTGCCTGGAGACCCTGCAGCAGCCAGTGGGAAAATAATTACTTTCATATCAAAACTCAGCAGGAGGCGCAGGGTCCTATAGCCGGCGGCCACTAACCTCATTCCAGGCCGGCCTTTTCAAATGAATAAATTTGTTAAAGCAATAAATACAAACAGCCAGACGGTGGTGAGAGAGGGGGGGGGGCAGGGGGGTAGGAGGTGGATTTATCTGCTCTAACGCCCACAACGGGCTACAACACAGGTGTCAAAGTCAAGGCCCGGGGGCCAGATGTGGCCTCGCCACATCATTTTATGTGGCCCGCAAAAGCAAATCAAGCGTGTCAAGTTCCATGATGCTTGCTAAAGCCTGGACCAAAATTTCAAATTGTCCGATGTAATCTGCAATAACAGTCATTATGATTGACTTCTGATTGTAAAAATTGTTTTTGATCAATTTGTTGTGCGCTGTGTATGTAATATGTGGAGGTGATTGAACAGTTATATGGTTTCCCAAAATTCATAACGGCCCTCCAAGGGAAACTGTAACTACAATGTGGCCCGCGACAAAAAATGTGTTTTTGACACCCCTGGTCTACAAGCTTCAGCCCCGCCCCCCGCCCCCTCCTTGTTTCCCATCCCGCACTCCATCCCCTTGCAAAAACAGCGCTCACTTTGAAACAATAGCTTTTATTTATCAAAACGTTGACATATAAATATCGTTTTTTTTTTCTCCTTTTTACAATATCTGAGGATTTCGGTTGCAAGAAAAATGTGTTTTCTTTACAGGTTTTGGTCACCAAAAAGAGAAGAGAAAAAAAAAAAAAGAAAAAGAAAACCTGCGGCCTCAGCTTTAGGACACGTGATTAAAAGATAGGTGAGGATTAAAGCCCCTTTTTCCACCGAGCAGTGCGGTTCATATCGACTGCAAATAGCCATCTTTATTTATTTATTGATTGATTTATTTTGCCATTGTCCAAGTTGTGCACAAACCCACAAAAAAAAAAAAAAAAAAAAAAACGGACTTGAATTTTGCCCCCTTCGCAATGGAGGTGGAGCCAGACACGCCGCAGTCCATCGATTGGGCGACGGATATAACGGTCGCTCGACTGTGGCAATGGGATTGCTTTGCCAAGGAGAACCAACACGTGCTCGAGATCCTCCGTGTCACGTTCGACCACAAGCTCACTGATTGAATTCATCGATGAGCTACCTTGTTACACAGCCTGCTCAAGCAGTTTTTTTATCCGCCTTTTCCGGGTCTTTTGTATACGGATAAGACACGCTGGCACAAAGTTGCAGCATCATGTCCGATTTAGAACGACATCTGTCAAAATAGTTACGCAATTGCTCTGTTTTTGTGTTCTTCATCAGTAATGCTTTTCCAAATATTGGTACTCAAACTATTTGAGTATTTCTTTCTTCCTTTACTCCTTACTAGGGGTGCACCGCTCCCAACTTTTTGGGCCGATCGCCGATCCCCGAGCTTTGAAAAGCTTCACCTGCCGATCCCAATTTTTTTTTTTCATAACCAACAGCGTGAGTCGTCAACGTTCCAATTTTGTTTTATTGTGACGCACCGAACAATACCTTTGAAACGATACAAACGCATTGCTGTAACCGCGTCTGAAGTCGTTTTCTCCGAAAAATATCTACTCGTCATTCCGTAGCAGACGGTGGCCGACTTTTGCGGACCTCTGCGGAGGGAGATGAGATCGGCGAACTGGATCAGTTTCATTTTCAGGGATCATCTGTTCACCGATCCTTGAAAATGAAGGAAATCAGCGCCGATCCCAATCCCGGCTAGTTGATCGGTGCACCCCTACTCCCTACATTTGAAAATGGGTATCTGTACTTTCAACTCCTTGGTCGAACTAGGATGGTGACTTCTTTTTTTCAACCGTCGAAGATGACAAGATGACGTTAAAAAAAAAAAAGAGACATCAATCGAGCTTCAGTTGAGATCCTGAAGCAAATCTTCCATACCCATGGCTTTATTTAATACGATATCAACTCCAACGGAGATTTGTGGTAGCATCAGTATACTTCAAGCGCAACGTGCGAGTGTTTTTGCCACCTTCTTATATCAAATGCGCGCTATTGTGATCCTGACCCGCCCTTGCCGGGATTCAAATATAAGGCAACGGTGCCCGGATCGTCCGATATTTGCTCTGACGGAGCGACTTGATGGGTTCTTTGAGTTAAAAGAGGCTTTGTGGCACTTCTATCTTGTCAATGGATCTCAGGGTTTTTTGCTGTTCCCAAAACCGGATCCGGAGCTGAACCGAACCGCGTTGCTCGGTGGGAAACGTGGCTAAAGTCTCCCAATTCCTGATATGTTTGCAAGCATCTATGCAGAGCTTTGGGAATGTTTGAACGAGTCCACTCGAAGAAAAAAATGGAGCTGAGGTGTACAAGGCCTTTTGTCGCTCGAAATCGTTTTGTATCCATTGACGCTTTTACAGCGCGGAAACATAACCTGGCAGTCCACTAAACCCAAACCGACTCCTACTGTAGCCCTGTTTTCTGACGGCGTCTGAGCATGCCGCTTTGTGTGCGCGCTCCGACGACAAGTGTTAGTCCATATCCACGTCCTCGCCGTCTGTTTCGAGCGCCTCCCGACAGTCAGCGTTTGCTCCGAGACCCTCGGAGAGGGCCGGAGACGTTCGTTCCTCCTTTGCGCGCGGCTCCTCGCCTCGGCAGCCGTCGGTCAGCGCCTCCCCGCGGACTCTCCCCGCCTCGCCGGGATCGGCGGACCGCGAGGATGCCTGAGACTTGGCGAGCGCGGGACTCTCGCCGGCTCGCTCCTCCTCCCCCTCCTCCTCCTCCACGTCGACTCTATTGCTAACGGGACTGTGATGGCGGTGGCGCGTTTTATGATCCGCGCCGATCGGCTTGGCGAGAGCGCAAGAGAGGTCGGTGGGAGCGCATGATTGTTCGAGGTGGAGTCTGTCGATGGCGTCCTGACACGGTGACGCCTTCAGGGCCGTTTGGGGCACGAGAAAGCCAAGGGGCTGATGGGTAATGGGGTAAAGCAAAAAGTGGCCTTTGCCCACCAGCGTCCTCTGGGCGGGCAGCGAGGGGAAGTCCAGGGGAGGCTTCCGTCGAGGCGTGGCGTCCGAGAGGAGGCTCTCCACGCTGAAAGGGTTGCGCTTCTGCAGGGCCGAGGACCTCGAGCCCGCCGGACTGCCGGAGCCGCGCGTGCTGGCCGGAGAAACCTGCTCCGCTTCTCTTCTTTGGTTTTGGTGGCTGAAGTCGTGTGGGGTTTGGTCACAGCTGGATTCGGTTTGGTGTCCTTGGGCGGCCCCGGACGTCAGGGGCAGCTCCCCGTGAATATTCCCGTTGGGGCCCGAAGAAGGCTGCTGCTCGCTGTCGGTGAACTGCGACACGCCGCTGTCGCTCTCGGAGCCGCCCGGCGTGTGGAAGCTGTCGCCGTGCAGAAGTTTGCTCTGCGACTTGAGCAACTTCCTCTCCTGCTTGCGTTTCTTCTTTTCGGCGCGCTCGTGCTCCCGCCGGGCGATCTCCTCGGGGTCCATGGGCTCGCCGCTGCACGTGGTCGGGTGAGAGTTGTGCGCGGGCCGCCCGGGCCCTTTCTTCGTGTTCTCCTTCTTCCTCCACTTAGCGCGTCGGTTCTGGAACCAAACCTGCGCACACAAACACACAAGACTTTACTTCAAAGACAACATCATGAGAATATTTCCAATTTGTTGAAACTAAGGGGGTTGGGGTTGTTTGTTTGTTTAGATGCCACAGGTTCAGCCTTTCTGTCATCTTGCACTTAGTACAGGACACAATTTGGGTCAATCGCAGTTGTCAAACTTCCGCATCCTTAGTGGATCTCGTCTCATTTTAGTCTCCTATTAGGTCACTGCAGTCGACTGACTACCTTTTATTTATTGCGCCTCACACAGGATTAAAATTTGAAGGTGATGGGTCGCCATGTAGTCTGTTGCTCCCAAATTGTGGCATGCGCTTTTGTTTCAGCTTGACATTTTTCAAGCGCAAAATCTGTTTGGCGGGCAATACAATGAGACTTGATTGGTTGATGACGGTTTCTTTCTTTTTTTTTTTTTTTTTTTTTTGACAGCCTTGTTTTTTTTTTTCCTGTTTGAATTTGCAATTGTATGTTTGTGAAGCACTTTGAAAAGTGCTCGACAAATTTACAGACTTACTTGTCAGCAAAACAAAACACACACTTTAGCTCCCTGCCGTGATGCTGCAAGTGACTTAATGAGCTGACTGTAAGTAAATTAATTAGCAAAGAAAATCATCAAAGTCAATTAAAATAGATACAAGGACAGACTGTATATTAAGGGACTTTTCCCTTACTGAGAATTTGGCATGCGCCGTATAAATGGCCTCAGCAGATGTTTATTTAATGTGAGCATATGTATGTTTTTATAAGCAACTTGTGCTCACTGTAAATCATTGGAACAAAAATGAAACAAGGCACCAAAACCGGCTCCATTAAAATTCCCGAGCTCAGATTCATGTTCATATCTAACAAGGTATACGTTGGTAAAAAAATACCAAAGTGCAAATGAGTTATTCACATAACATCAGCAAAATCCAAACACATCCATCCATTTTTTTTCAATTTTCTACACAACTAATTCAGCAAGGACTGTGAATGGCATCATTCAATTCTCCTTAAACAGCACCCCGCAATCTATACCAACCAAATTATGCCTGCCTAGCAGATTGCTTCTATTGACCAGGTGAAATGATCACTCCACTCATCTTAAACACATCGCACAAAAAAAAAAAACATTCACTTTTTGCTCAGTGACTCTCACTTTTAAACACGTGGCAAAATTTGAGCATCCATTTTGAGTATTTCAAACTCTTGATTATTAACCCTTGACTGTGTACTTTCTTTTTCTGCGCTTCTATAAATAGTCGCCGTTTTCGCATTTATTTATTTGATTGATTGGCAGATTTGCTCTTTTTCAGGCCGCTCTTTTGGCAGTGAGTATAGTAGATTGAACATCGTCTTCCATCAAATGTACACACATCAAAGAAGGAAGCCTTGTTGGTATAAAGTGGCCTGGCAGCGTTTGCGTTCATCACCGATGAGTTTGCTTCGTGCCCAACTCTGCCGATTAAAATCGAATCGCTGCCGAACTAATTGGGTGCGTTTCATTATAAGACCAGCACACACCGTCCACACCAGCCCTCGGCTCCTCGCAGGACTGCCGTCTTCGGAGCCGGCCAAGAGCGACGAAG